GCCCTGAGGAGCTTGCAGTGCTCCAGTTTCAGTCTAAGAGGAACTCGCCTTCTGCATCTATTCAATAGTGATGAGCAAGTATCTGGTGCTGTAACAAACTATGTAAACCCCTATTCATGATCAGGAGTTTGAAACAAAGAAGAAAGTGAATTTTAAAAATTAAAAATCAATTGCAAGTTTAAATACTAACCCAACGTAGCAGGGCAGGGACTTGGCCAGCCACTGAGCAGTGGGAGAACTCTCCATTTGGTTCAGTCAAGCTGACTAGAGGAGGCTGCTGTGGGAGTGCATTGTATGAGCTGCATCCTTGGACAAGGTCCCAGAAGGTCAGACATTCATGTAAACTATCAAAACCTCCTCTTAAGCTTGCAGAATCGGGCTACAAATCTTACAAGGGCAGCTTCTCCTGTGACTGGAACTGCTGTTTCAGAGGGAGGAGGGAATACAGAGGAAAGTTAACTTGCCTCTCAAACTTCAACAAAAGCTGAAGTTTCAAGTTGTTTTTATGTTTTAACACAATGGCTTTGTCTACCACCATCACCCCCCACCCCCCAAAGGGAGGGGGGTGCTGGGGGCATGTGTTTGGCCTCATAAACAAGTGAATTGTGGTTCCCCTGGAGTGTGCTATAAATGAAGGAATCAGGGGAATGAATGAGGCTGATGAGGAAACAGAGAATATGCTATACAAAAATCTTAGTATGTTGTAATCATGGGAAAAGAAATACAGAAGAACTTACTAGACAGTTTAATGGGTCATCAGCAGTTGATTAGGTATGTTGCACAAGTGAGTCTGCTGGAGCTGGCTAACCACGGAATATTTAATAAGTTTTATGTAATGGTGACAAATGGTTAATTTTGAGATGAGTATTTTTAGGAGCCCCCCCCTGCCCATTACCTGTGCTTGTCTGAAAGAATGATAGGTAATTCATGAACTAACTGGTTTTTCTAGTAGCCCCTTCTTCCATTCTCTCCCTACCCCTCAATTTTTAACAGGCTTCAACTAGCAAGTGATTAGCCACAGTATGCTGTTACTATATCAGGCAAAGCATCACTTTCATTAGCTTGAACAGCTAGTGGGCCTTGGAAAGGTCTGTTGCAGTGAAGTGCCTCTCACTGAGAGTTAAGTGAGCTTTGTGCAAAACCAGCAAGGACACTCTTGATTTGGATGGAAAGAGAAATGGGCTGAGAGCTTTTGCAGCAGAGGCTGCCTAGTGTGAGCTGTGCTCCTGGAGCACCTCTGGCTTTTCTGAGATTCGTCCTTTCAGCCCAGAGCTCTAGCTACTGCAGGAATGAAAAGTAGTAATGCCATTTGTTGTTTAGACATGCAAACATTACAACTGGAATTGGAGTAGAGAGTTAGAAAAGAACTGGGAAATCCTGAGCATAAAAGTCAGACAGATCCTGAGCTGCTGTCTATATCTGTTTTGGCTTTTTTTGCACAAAGGTGGACTTTAGATGGAGTTTGGTATGGGTAGTTTGTTTTGTTATGGATGGGGGAGGAAGAGGTGGTGGTGTGAAGAACCAAAGGAGTTGGGAAGGGTTTTAAAGTAGAGGTTGGGTTCTAATGCTTGTGTATGTCTAGCCCTAACAGAAACTAGATTTACTACAGAATGTGTTGTGTCTGGCTCTCAAATCTATTATTTAATAATTGAAGACTGATGCTAGCAGTCAGACATGCTCTAAACAAGCAGAGTATATGGTAATCCCCTCCCCTCTGCCAATGCGCAGCCTTTCTGATCTGAAACTGATGATATTCCTGTTCTGTTTTCCCTCCTAATAATGCACAGATTCCAAACCAGAGCCTAAGTATTCTGGAAGCAGTGAAATTATTTCTCTGTGCTTAAAACTAAGGCAACACTATGACTAGGGACAGACCTTGCACATAAACCAATTTAAGTGATCAGAAACTGGTTTAAACTTGTAACAGAATAGATGTTCAGTGCATATAAACCAATTTGAAAATGGCTGAAACTGGTCTGAGATAAACCTGGTTGAATGTAGTATCAGAGTTAACTGATTTGGCTCAAATTAGTTTATGTAATGTGTGTCCCAGACCCCTTGCTGGTTTAAGTTGTATCAGAGTCCTCCTGGCATGCTCTCTGGGCTGGGTAGAGCTCTCTGCTGCACAGCAGGGCTGGCTCCTCCCCTCTGCTTGCTGGCTGGAGCTCAGCACAGATTTGTAGGCATAGCAGGGTCTGGTGGCTCCCCTCCCACTCACTGCTTAAACAGACATCCCTTTCTCTTCTCTGCCACAGTAGGGACCATAGCCAGCATGTGGTATGCTAGCTAATGCCGAAAAATGTCTGTGCGTATCTCTCTCTTCAATTTCACTAGGACAGGCAAACAGGACAGTGACTGTTTCAGGCTTTTGGAGGTAATCAACAGGTCAGCCCCTAAGCTGCTTAAGAACTTTGAAGTAATGTGGGGAGAGGATATTGTTTTGCTGATTAGGTGATTAAAGACTGTGATCAGTCATGGCTGCCAGTCCGGGTACAGGGGAAACTAACTCTCCTTCTTGCTTGCTTCTGCCTTGGGGCCATGGTGCTCAGTGCTGCAGCAGCAAGCGGGGAGCACTGGGCAGACCTGGCTCTGGTTCCTGCTGGTGGCACAGGGAGGGAGAACTAAACCCTGCCCTGGTCAGTTCAGCCTAGGTTGGCCGCCTGCTCTAGCACCCCCCAGCACTTGGCCTGAGCAGCTACAGGCATGTGCCTGCATTGCCTCAGTCCAGAGAGCATGTCTGTCCAGTTACAAACCGGTTCAGCTTACGTGGGTTAGACTAACCTACAAAGGTTCAATCAATAAAGGCTCCGGGTTTTTGAATCTGTCCCTAGCCCTGGTGCTTGGGAGTACAGCTGTTACCTCCCAGCCCAGAACTGTTCCCTGAACCCCAACATGCAGGTCCCTCAGACATTCTACCATGTCCCCCAGATGCCCCTCACTGCCCTTTGCCTCTGCCACCACAAAAGCCCCTGGTTCCACTTTGTTTCCTGTTATCCCACATATCCCCCATGCACAGGTCCATCCCATTGGGCTGCAGACCCCATCAAACCCCACCGCCTGCTTGTGCCCCACTAAATCCTACTCTGCCACCTTACTTCACCCTTCACAGACCCATCCCCATCATGCTCCAGCACCCCTTACCCCTTATCATCCACTTCACACTCCACTCAGCTGTCCTCTACCCCTTTTGAGCACCCAAACTTCAATGCAGTCCCTCACATCCCTGGGCCCTCCTCACCCAGAATCCCTCTTCATCTCAAACCCCATATGCCTCTCACACCTCTTTATTCCACAGGCTCTCTTCCAGTGCCAGGTTATAACATGCTGAGGCCCTAAACTATGTCCAGTTTAAGAGGCCCCATATGATAAAAATAATCCATGAAAATGGATTTTCATGAAATTTTAAGATTAATTATTGTTATTTCTGCACAAATATATGAATAACAACTGTGGAGGCATGTATGTATATTTTTGTCATATTAGAAGAAAAATGTCCCTTTTTCTTATTTAGAGCCCCCTCATATTGTGAAGCCCTAAAATGTTGTTTAAGCCTAAATCTGGCAGTGCTTTCTTCCCTCCCCTACACTCGGAGCCCACCCAAGCCAGGCTCAGGGCAAATTAGCCCAGGCGGGGCCCCACCCCAGACCTGAAGAAGCTGCCACCACTGTCAGCTATGGAGGGGGGAGCGAGCAGCTGGACTCAAAGCAAGTGGTGGTGGTGGCACAAAGCCACAATGGCTGCTCTGCCCAGCCCCAAAGTGCGGGGACTGGGGCAGTTGCCCCAATTCATACCACTCCCCAGGGACAGCCCTGCCTACACCCCATTTTGCCCCCACAGCTCCAAACCCCCATATGACCATCATACCCCTCTATCCCACAGGTTCTCTTCTCCCCCCAAATCCCCTTCGTGCCAATGACCCCTGATTCAGCCCCTCCCAAACATTTTTCTCTGCCCCCACCCCTTCTTCACTGCTGCCTTTTCTCACATGATGCCTGTAGTAGGCTTTTACTGCTTTCCACCTCTCAATGTACAGAAACAAGCACTTGGGGTTGGAAGACTTATTTGGGCACTTGTAGTGCCTGTACCTGGGGTGACCAGCCCCATCGGATCTACTTATGCCCAGCTTTGTGCTACCCTCGTTCTGTTGCTGATTCAGGCTCCATCTGCTGCAACGAATAATCCACGAAAATGTCACGTACCGTAACATACCGTTTGCCTCCCTTTTGCAACTCGTTCTGGTCTCTGACTGCTGTGCCACTGCATACCCTAGTTTGCCTGCACCCTGGCCCTCCCTTCCCTGTCTGTGACTTGTGGTGGTTTGAATTCCCCAGGAACAGGTGCAGGTTCCTAGGTAGTTGAATACTAGGGGGTGAGCTATGAAGCATTATCAGGAGGGGATAATAGACAGGATATAGTAGAAGAAAGGATAGCATGATTAGTGGAAAAAGGAGGTTTGTAAACACCTATGACCTGTGGGCTAAATACAGCCCATAGAGCCATCACATGGTTCAAAGGGCTTCTCATGGGTCAGGAAGTTTGGTGGTGTGTGAATGATGGACATTAATATGGCCACCTTCCCCCTACCAAATTCCAAGACCTGCATGGTTGGCCAGGGGCCAGGCTGAGCTGCCAGTCTTTTACTCCCCCCCCCCCCCCCCCCCCCCGCGGCAGGGCAGGGTTGGGGCCAGGCCACACCTGTGGTCCTGGATTGGGGTTGGGCCATGCTCCCTCCCCCACTGCAGGGCCAGCCCACACCCTCTTTTCCCCACCCCCACAGGGCTGGTTGGGTCTGAGACACACCCCCTTCTTCCTCCTGCAGGGAGAAAGCAAACCCCCTTCCCCTGTAGGGTTGGGTCACCCACTCTCCTCCTTTGTGTGGCTGGATGGTGCATGCTCTGCTTGCCACAGGTGCTGGATTGGGACTGCTGGCCGGATCTGGTCTACAGACCAGCTGAGCACTGCCCATCCTATCTGGCCCCCTGGGAAAAAAGGTTGAGCACCACTGACCTATGGAATAAGGAGATTAGTAGGACTCAAGTAGATGATAATGAACCATGAAGTCAATTGACTCCCTCAGCTCTGCTTGAATAGAAATGTGGCTATCCTTGCTGGGCAGTTTATTGTCAAAACTGAGTGGAGCAGGAATCAAAAGGGTGCAGGGCAGGGAGGAATCTGCCCCTGCTCCAGGGGTCTGGAGAGTCTTCCTTTGACTTCTGTAGAATTTTGCAATCGTTATATAATGTATGCAGACTCGGCTTGTACATTCTGACTTCTTCCATCTTCCGTGTGTTTATCTCTGTGCCTATGAGACTGTCCGTCCTTTTAAAGTAATGGAGTTTTGAGAGTGTAGGAAGGCCAGTAATAGGTGTGCCCCAATTCTGCACTGCTTGCTGCCTTGCCTCAGAGCCATCTGAGGTGTATCTTCCACTACAGCAGTCCTAGCTGCAGTAACTTGGAGCTCTCAAAGAAACGTGAAATTACATAGATGGTGCTGTGCTGCCATTGTTTGACGGGCTTTGTCCTGCACTTGTCTAAAATGACAAAGCACGACACGGTGTGAATATCCCTATACTTTGCATATTGCAAATGTTTATTAGCAGATATGCTGTGGTGACACTGAGCTTGGCAAATAGGGCTCACATTCTTGATGTGTAGGCACTAATACAATACAAATAATCATAATATCTTCTGGGTTTTATTAGATTAGTGTTAGGAGTCACCTTGCTCAGGAAAGAAGATTTTTCCTGCATACTCCCATTTCCCTCTTAAAATTAGAGTATGGATTGGGAGACAAAAGATGGAGCCTAATTTTGCCTTTGGTAACATCATGTTACCAAGGAAAATGCCTTTTCTTGATGGAAGCTTTGATTTTTCTATTTGCATGCCCACCCATGAAGCTAGTGGTCATAGGAAGAAGTGTGAAAATAATGGATTTTTGTGGTTTTTCTACTAATTCCAAAGAAACCTGGGGGAAAATACTCAGTTTGGTACAAAAATAAATTTTTTATAGATTTTTTTTTTTTGTTCTTGTAAATTGAAAAGTCAAACCCATTTCATGTCAAATGAAACGCTTCCTTTCATTTTGAGCTTTTAAAAAGATGTTATTTTTTTAAATTACATGGAAGGGGATTTTGAAATGATAGCATGCTTATCTAAAATTGGAAAACTAAAATATTTTGTTTCAAGACTATGTTTTTGACTTCTTTCAGAGTGTACAACAAAGTTAAAAGTGAACTTGCAAAATACTTTAATGTTCCTCATTCGGAATTAAAAAAAAAAAAAAAATTTACCTGGTATGTTTTGTATCTGGTACTGTTCTTGTTCTGCAGGTTTTAGTGAGACAGCCTCTTCAAACTTTTCTTCATCTTCCTTTTCCCATGATGGCGAGGAGGGAAGGAAGATGTTTATATCCCTGTAGCCACCTTGATTTAACCCATTAAGACGACAGAAGAGAGTTCAGAAAAACCATTCAGAATGTACTCTTTTTTTTTTTTTTTTTTTCCTTCCTCTGAAATGTGGGGCTGCTTGTACTGCCACTTGATCCAACTCTGTATGGGACTGTAACGGGGGTCCTGCTCGGGGCTGTTTTCAGAGTGGCCCACCCACCTGTCTCTGGGCTAACCGCCTGCCTTCTCACCCACCACGCCGCCTTGTTATAATTAATTAGTAGATGTTAATAAGTGGAAGGCTGCCTAGTTCCTGCCCCGATGCCAGGGGGGGCACCATCTGCAGCTCCTTTCCTCCCATACACTGCAGCCCAAGCCTCGCAGATGGCATCACGATGTTCCTTTAATCACCGGCCCCCACACTGGGCCTCAGAATCCTCCTGTTGAACCCCACCTGGATTCCTCCCCTCAGGTGGCCTCTTCCGCTGTCATACCGGGCAGCATAGCTCCCTGAACTGGTTCCCCTTTAGGTGTGGTCCCCCCACCGAGACCTACAGCTCATCTAGCCCTGGCCCACCTCCAGGCCAGCCAGGACTCCAGGCCCTCAGCTCTTGGGCATCCCTCCCTGTGGGCCCTTGGCCCTTCAACCCTTCTGGTCCTGGCCCCAGCATGGACCAGTCAGGGAAAACTCAGCCAGGCCTGCATCTATGGCCCTTTTCTCAATCTTCAAGAGTCTACTCTCTGGGCCCTCCAAACAAAGGGGTCACCCACCTGGTTGTGGGGGCTAGGGGTTAAGGCACCTCAACCTGCCTTTCACCGGGGTGGTAACTGGCCTGGCACTTTCTGGGGGCTCCTGTGCCACTGGGAGCCCCACCAGGCCACCCACTCACAGCAGGGTGCAGTTTTAGGTCATGCCCAAGACCAGGAGCCTCCTATCCATCCCCTACAGCTCCTCCCTTACCTCCAGGTGATACCAGCAGTCCTACAGCCAGGCAGGTAGCCTGATCTCTAGCAGCCCAACTGCTCTGGTTATATGGGCAGCCCCTGATTCCAAAATGGCTACCGTCATCAGGCACCTGGTGGCTGCCAGCTCCAAGCCCTTAAAGTGGTAGGCACCTACGGTGCCCTGACACAGAGACATACCTTACATAAGGATGTGCTTTTATTTCATGAGTTAAGGGTAGATTGCTGATGCTCTTTGCTTTAGCAGCGTCCTTACATTTTACCATGTACAATTCAGTAGGAGAGTTCTTGCAGTATAGCCCCCAGAAGAGCTATTCTTTTTCCCTAAGCCCTCAGGCATATTGTGATAATTTTAGTAATGGTTACACTGTCCATTACCTGGGTCATTCAGCTCAACGTATCAAGGGGATCCTACTTCTTTTGTGAAAACATTTGCCATGTGTTCTATCCAAGAGAGAGACTGTAGCAAAAGATGCTTAGATCTTCAGACTTGGAAACTGAGAGACTAGGATTTGTGTGTTTGAACATTTTTTTCCCTCCTCCTCATTCACAAAAAAAGTGGTAATACTTTTGCTTTCCAAGAAAAGAGAGCCATACTTGTTTCTCTGTATATCTTCTCTCATTCCCATGTGTTTTACACTTGCTCCAAATGCCTACAGATACATTGGCCTATATTTATTTAACAAGGGATTTTTTTTTTTTTCTTTTCACCACAGGGAATAAAAAAAGAAGGCAGAATTTTTCACTGGGAACAAATCTCATTTTCAAGAGTCCTGACAAAATGAGCCATAAAATTACAATATTTCAAAGCAGTCCGTAATTCCGGCACAGACAGCTCTTCATCATGGAATCTGAAAGCTTGGAAAAATATAAAACTCATTAGATTAAAATAAACCACCTACTGTGAGGAAGAAAAGCTTATTTATCAATATCAATTTACTTCTGATTACCCTGTATGGCAATTTGTTATTTTTAGGAATTATGATTTGCATATTGCTCATGCCAATTTGAATTTCTTTAAAACTTTACTCTGTTTGTTTGTTTGTTTAAAATGTATGTTGTAGGGTGAGCTAGAAAGGTATGGTGAGTTGCTGAGCAGGAGCTACTGCAACAGATTGAGCAATACCAGAATATTTGTGCTTGGAATAGGTTTGCAATTTGGGGAGGCTGGGGATTGGATGCAATGGTACAATGGGTACAGAGAAGAAGTGTGAAAAGTATTCAGTTTAAATGTTGACAAAAATCAGCTGAGGTGTGAACTGGATCCACGTTCATGTACCAGCTGCAGGTTCCCCAGGCTTTATCTGCATCTACAAGTTTCTCATCCACTTGGATCCATATGCATTTAGACCTCTCTAGATGTTAGTGAACGTTAAGAAGTTGCTGTTGGCTGCTACTTTCTTGTTTACAGTTTGTATTTACTGAGAGAGGTCAGGCAGGAATTTTCAGTGGGGCCACTAGTTCTGCTGCTTGGACTAGCTTTGCCTCCATGTTCTCAGTAGGATTCAACCTGAATTTAGCTCCTGCAAACTTTTGTTTTTGAACCACCAGGTAGGACTATGCAAATTGATTCTTACAAGTAGAAACACATCTCCAAACAAACTTGGTAAAAAGTAAATCACTCATTGGCGTTTAGATTTTACTCCCCTCTAGTGAAATGGCTGTGTATTTTGGGAACATAGAATCCTAGAAAATTAGGATTGGAAGGGACCTCAGGAGGTCATCTAGTCCAACCCCCTGCTCAAAGCAGGACCGTCTCCAACTAGATCATCCCAGCCAAAGCTTTATCTAGCCATAAGGCACTCCCTTAATGCACTGGCAAGTTTACCATATCAGAGCTCTGGACTGCTGTTATTTGAGGGGAATGCCCTTGCGAGTTCTAGAAGTCATTGGATGTCCTTTGCACCTGAAATCTGAGTTGGATTACAGAATAGTTTGTCATAAGTATGAAGGTGTTAAGGTGCATTTGTTTGACCCTATTTATAGACAGAAGTTGGAGTGGCAAGGTAGATCCAGAGTTTGCATTCTTAGGAGATGCTTTACACCTCTAAGGCATTAGAGTTGCCCGTGCATGTTGAAAGACAGAATAGGGCTCTAAACAATTTTGAAATGGATTAGAAAACATGATAGAGCTCATTAAGGATTTGCCTTTTATTTGTCTAAGAGTCCCGTTGGTTGATCACGGTCCTATATGTGACCATCTCTAAATATCAAAGAATTTGCTCCTGCATAATGCCACAGTGGATTCTTTGTGGTCATCATTACTGGTGTCTCCTCATTTTGACATCTTACTCAATGTTTTAGGGCATCTTTCATATCCTCATTGGGAAGGAAGACTTCATGGGCTAATTGAAAACATTGGGAAGTTTTTTTTTTTTTTTTTTTTTTTTTCCAATTCAGGAGCAAAGAGTATGGAAATAGAGTAAACAGAGAGCCAGCTGTGAGGTGGAAAAACACTGAATTGGTGGCAGTCAGAAAGCTATAGCAGAAGAAGCCTTTTTGACAGGTGGATGAATGCCACATGTGCACATTCTGATCCCTACTGGGTTGCTGGTGATCTTCTTTGTCTTCGCTGAGAGGAAGTGAATGACATTAGTAGGTAGCCCCAGCTGTTGTTCCAGCTGCAATTATCCTGTGAATGGAGGAAGGGAAAAGGGTGTGGAACCAGAGGCTAGTTACTTGCTTGATGTGAATTGGGAGACACTAGGGAAGAGGGAGGTTTTTAGTGAGCAGCTCTTTACACAAAAGCTGTTTGAGAGAGACTTTGATTTACACTTTCATTTCTTCTTTATGCTTTTGGAACAGCACAGAGCAAACGGAGAGACTGACACTGTAAATTGGAGACACAAATATTACAGTGACGTTTGGGAAAGAGACGACCAGGTGGGGGGAAGGGAAGTAAGGGATTGTGGGTTTGGGATTATAAAAATGCCAGCAGCAGCCCAAATGTTTCTTCATAGCTGCCAACAGGGCACAGACAATGCAGAAACTGCTGCTGTTCTAACTAAGGCAATTAGGGATATTTTGTATGTATGATAACTGTTCACTTGCAGAAATGCCCCAGCAGTGCATTTAAAATAACCAATACAGGTGCACAGATTTATAAGATGACATTTACCAGCCTGAAAACTATACACAGAACACCAAATCTGGCTGGGTGTAAGCGGGTGCATCTCTGCTGAAGTCCATAATTCTTCTAGGTGAAATGCTGGCAGCTCCTCCACAACTGTTGCCAATTTTACCTTGATTAATTTACAGTGAGTGTATGGAAAACTGAAGCATGTGCCTGATGAGAACTCTCTCTGAGAAGGAGAACCAATAAACCAATGTGACTTAGCATGAAGTTCTAGTCCATTTTTAAATGGTTTATCACTGTTCTTCTGCACTGGCTCAGCTCCAAATTACAGAGCTTTGAAGCAAATACAGAAATGGCCTGTACACTGCAGCAAGCCTAAAAGACATCCAGTAGTTAAAGGGTTGCACAAGTTGGAAGAAAAGATTTGCAATCCTTTGTGGCAATCTCTTGACAAGTATACCATAAATTATCCCTGGACTCACCGGAAGTGCCACTCCAATCCCTTTCCCTTACCTGATCTGCTGCTCAGCTTCCTGCTCCCTGTTCTTTGCTTCCTGACCAAGCTGCTGCTTTGCTTTCTGCTTCCTGTCCTGTGCTCGGTGCCTGATCTCATGCTCTGCTTTCTGCTCCCTGTCCTGTCTGCCACTGTGCTACATGTCCCCTCCCCAATCTGCCATGTGCCCCACACAGAGGTTACCTGTGCCACTTGTGGCACCCACGGTGCAGGATGGCCACCCTGCTCTATGGAAAGGTACAATATAGAACAATGTTGCAGAAGTAGGAATGATTGAAAGGAAAAGGTGGTGAGGGGAGAAGTCCATGAGTTGGCCCTTTCCTTCTGTCATGTTGTGTCTCTTTTAGAGATGTGGGTTAGCAAGTGTAAAGCGATGGGTGTCACTGGGGAGTGAGTTGTACATCTTTAGGAAAAAAAAAAATCACATAACACAGTGGACTGATGCTATGCTATTCTTTTAATGGCCCTCCTAACTGGGTTGATTTCAAGAGCACAATTTCTGGAACCTCATCCTTCAGTTTTAAAGAGGAGAACCTTTGTGCTTTTTAGATACAAAGTTCTTTCTAATGACCCATGCAGAGATGTTAAATTCTTTATACAATTCATATTTCTCTGCCGAATCCTTCATGAAAAGAATATCGTTGGGGACAAGGCACAGCTTAATAGCAGTGGCAGTATCGTAGCCAATGAGGTTAATCTGAGGCGCGATTATTGCTAATTGAAAACTTCTCTGTAACAGACTTTTAAAGTTTTTTTTCCCATTTGTATCCAAGTGGCATCAGAGGATGCCAGTGAACATCTAGCTTGGGGTTTTGTTACTTGACTTCTTGCTTGAAGATGGAACTTCTGGATTGTTTATGTCAGCCCAGATTATTATTATTATTATTATTATTATTATTATTATTATTATTATTAATAATAATAATGGACAGCCGGGTGGAGTTGGCCATGGCGAGTTGTAGGAGAAACAGTAAGCAGGCTGATGAGGGTTAAGTTTTGTGTTTACATGTGTGGGGAGTATATGTTAGAGATGGCTTGAATCTGGTGAATTGCCAGAATGAGGACACCAGAAATACCATGCAAGTGGGAATGGATTCACTGAGAGCTTTGCTTCCCCTTTTGAATTAATATTAGCATCCAAAATTCCTATCATATGGGGCAGAAACCATTCCATTTTTCATAACTTCTTCCTAGGATTGGCACCTCTACTTCTTCCTGTGATGTGGCTTTGTGAGGGGAGTAGAGGGGTACCCTATGGCTCGGGGTATGTGTGATGGATATTTTTTTCAGACTCTTTCCTACTGAGTAGGAGGAGAGCTCAAGGGTTGCTCCTAATCAAGAGAGAGTTTTAAGATCTTCATAATCTTGCTTTTCTCTCTCCATTTCTTAAACTTGGGTTTAAGGCATTAAAAGTACTGGATCGTTTTCTAGCTTCTCTTTTAGCTAGAAAACACTGCAGTCAAATAGAGTTGTGTCTCCTGTTCCTGTGCAGATATGACAG